TGTTTATGCAATTTTTAGATTCATTTACGCTGACATATCGTTCATAACAAACAATGGACATGATAATATATGAAATAATCTGGCTTTATTATTATGATTCACCAAACAGTGTTTAGGACATAGCAAAATCCCTGGATTTCATATCATATCCTAACTAAAAATCTAGATGACCAAACGCAACCTTAGTGCTTCTGGTTCTGGAATTCCTTTTACCCACTGACCAACAAGAAGTGAAAAGCTGGATCTGTTGTTCTGTTACCATAGAGAGTAATGTCTTCTTAGTGGTGTCCCACATAAGTGGACAAGGCTTTCGTTGGCTGTAGCTGTACTTACTGCTGCTAAGATTAGAGTGCCTATTAACATCTAATGATGGTTGATCAGGACCCTCTCCCGATTAGTGCCATGCTTTCCTCTTTCTTTCTTTGAGGGGTTTCTTTATTTGGGAAATGATTACTCGTTTCTTTAATCATGAAGGGGTCCAATAAGTCTGTGCATTGCATTTGTTACTTGGAGGTCTATCTAGATCATTCCCCTCATGCTCAATGTGATTTCACTGTCCGGATGTCTCGAGCAATTGCGCGGTTGGAGGTGAATTTTTTTTTATTTTCTTTTATAATGAAGCTTCTTGTGGCGGTTCGTAATGGATGAGGATTTGGAGTCTAGTGCCTCTGCTCCCGATAGAAAATACTTGCTTGGATCGGGATTCAATAGACTAAGTCAATCATAACCGTTGATTTTTGTGGGATCTACGTGTGGGACCTATAATAGCTACGGTCAAGAAATGAAATTTCTGCTCACAAGCGTATGCAATATGCATGCGTATTTGCATGAATATAATGTGATATTGTGGGAGCTTGCCTTGGGGGAACTCTTGTACGTTGAGGTCAAACAATCAATGGCCGTAGGTTCGAATTCTACTTGGGAAGATATGATTCATTCAAGTGCGATTCACATTGTCACCTAATTTCTGAATGGCTCGTATTATATTACTTCATTGCCGTAGTACCTCGTGTGAAGAGATTTTTCAGTTGCTAGCATCTTATGGCTAGCCAATCTTGAATTTTCGAATCTTGGTTGATGCCGAATAGTTATGTCTAAAACTGAATATATCGTAATGGACATAAGATCCTTGCTGTAATGCCAAGAGGAGGATACCGGTGTTGGTCGCCCCTTTCCACCCTTCTTACCGATGAAAAGAAAGCGATGATCCACTCTTTGTCACGATCAATCACTAGGGTTAATTGACTCGGCTCTCTGCATTAGAATGAGTCTTCGTGCTTATCTGTCGAAAAGGAAGAGTCTAGACTTAATTGATTAGATTAAATCAATGAGAACATCACCTAATGATGATGGGATGCATGCACAATCTCACGAGGAAAAAGTAAGTTCTTTTTGCCCTATGATTAATTAAATTGGTCTAGCTATCAAATTGTCCTTACGGTGAGTATCTAATGTTTGCCATAAAATTAAGTCTTTTTTGCATCATCCTTGGACATTTGTGGAGTGGTTGGTGGCTGAGCTGCCTTTCCAAATGGTTTTGGTCATAAGTTGACTTTTGTCAACATAAGGCATAAATATATAATTAAGTTTCACTCAAGGAAATGGAATCTTGAAAGAGCAAAATCACTTTTTTATACATGGTGCCGACACATCCCTCAGAATATTTACCCAAATATAACTGAGTTCCTTGATCATACGTGCATGCAAAGATGACAGTTTGGTCACGTTATTTGTTGTGAAGGATATATTTTCCGACCTTTTGCGCAAAACGGCAAAAGTACGGATAAAATCGAACAATCCAAGCGAGGAATACATATAGAAATAAACTTGACACAAAAGATTTATGAGATTTGGCCGGATGAGTCTGCTGCTCCATGGGGAGAGATCGACGCAATGTTCCACCATAATCAAAGAAAAATATTACGATTGATCGGATCAAACTCATTCGCAAATGTTTCCTAACGTTAAATATCACCTATATTGTAAGAGTTAATCATAAAAAAATAAGTTTTCTCGCACTCTCAACTCTTTTTGGATATATTTCTCAAAAGTTTTCTGAAGTTTTTAAAATTTTCAAAATAATTTTTTAAAATGGGTGTTAAAACAGTATGGATCAAATTCGCATCGAGGGCGGGTATCCGGCCAAAATAGGCTCAGGCAACTGGCCACAACAGAAGCGCTTTTGGTTTCGGAGGCTGGTCGGCAACCTGGCCACATCTTGACCGGATACCTGCCTAGTTGCTTGGTTTTCACAAGCGCTTGGCAGGCCATCTTCTCGTGTTCTCCAACCGTCCGTCTCCGTCTCCAATCCTCAGCAAACACTCCGAAGATCCCGATAATCACAACCTTATACCGATTTCAAATCGATTGATAAACTTCTGAGTCACGATCAGCAGCCCCCACTGATTGCGGATATCTAATAAGAGCTTAGAACTGAAATGCTTTTTTGTTTTGGTCATTTCTTCCGGTTTTGAACTTAAAAACTTGGGTCGATTCTCTCTTAATTATCACTCTAAACCAAAAAAAAAATAAGAAAAGAAAGAAAAAACAAAGCACGTGGTAGAAACTGGGACGTCAGATGTCTATGGTTTAGCTTTTGTTGACTTTTGATGTTTAAAAGACAAGTAGGATGGAAAGTCATAAACCAAAAGACTTGCACTCTTTGGCTAAATGCCTCTTTTCTGATCAATAGTGAAACCTACCTAGCTTTTGTTGCACTTCATCGGTACACTTCTATTCTTCTGACTTGAGTAGGAACTTGAGAAAGAAAGTGAAAGCAAACCTCAAGCCGAATATGTAGACTACTCATATGGTGAAGGCGATCCGAATGACTGTTTGATTCTATCTGTCGTCAACAAATCATTTCAATCGATCCGTCTCATTAGATGTAACAAGAGACCCGTTAAATGTAGCTGTTCGAATGAACACAAGGGACGAGTATTGTGTAGAATGAATCCGTCGTTTATGTGACCCTTTGAAGCTACCTCTCATACATGCATGGTTGTATTTTTCCAATTCATTAGTTGCGTGTGAAAGTGGAGGAAAAAGTGGACGGATAGGGATTGGGAGGAGGATTGACTTGCTGGGGAGGGCACTATTCTTCCATCAGACTCTGCAAAAGTCCAAAGCACAGTAAAAGTGGGAATTCATTCTGCATCAGACCTTGGAATCCAATGCTATCGCCCTCACTGGGAAAAATCGAAAGAGCTTAGGGAAAGCAACAGGGATTGATGAGGCGGGCACGAGAATATCTGTACTTCCTGCCGCAGATCTGCGGGCCAGCGTTTGGATGTTCGTCAGCACTAATCTTATGGAATGCTCATCATCATTACATTCCATTAAAACTTCTAATAGATCATGTTCTTCATACCCTTCGACCTGGGCTCTTGTCATGCGAAAAATGAATTATTTTAAAAATATATATTTTTTAAAAATGATAGTTTATATAACTTGAAATATTTAGCTGATAAGAAATGTTTTCATTATTAACAATTATTTTATTTAAACTTTTTCGTAGATGGTAAAAATATTTTTCTTATATGTTATTTTTTAAAAGAATAAAAATTTACAAGCGACTTGTCCACACGCACAATGAAGTTCCTATAAAAGAATAAATCTATGTTTCTTATACGTTGTTTTTCACGTGGTTAGGTGACTTTTCCGTGAGTTAAAAATAACTATGCGTATGTATTGAGCTAGTAACTTCTCCATCAACTGTGTGCCATCTGTGGATAACACTAAATGACAAAAAGAAGTTGAGTAATTGTTAGTCTCCATCGTTCAATGATAAGAATGTATCACCACATTATTGTACCTTAGAAAGTTCCTGAAAATATCATACGAGGGTGTTAACCGTAAACTTATATGGATTAAACACATGAATATAATGTGTTTATATACATGTAATCTCTTTCCATCGAATAATTTAAGTTTTTAGGTTTGTCATTCTAACATCCTAAAAAAGCACATATCAAGAGTTCAAATCCTATCGCTTTCCTTTCAAACTTATCGGTGGTGAAGCCGAGTCATACTACATGCGAGGGAGATTGTCAATTATAATCCCACATTGCTTAAATACATTGTCTCTTTTTACCTAATGGTTTAACTTTCTAGATAGGTCATTCTAATGTTGGGGAAGTGGAACATATATAGAATGCGATTGGGAATCATTTTGCGAAAGGCCCTAAGACAAAATGCAAGTGATGTTTAGCGATTTTTTTGGAGAGCATTTGGGAGATACCATTGTATTTACAAAGTCTTCTGAAGGCCTTTAGTTGAATGCAAGTCTTACCCAGCTTTGGGCTTTAGTTTTCAAAATGCTAGTGCATTTTTTTCTTCCAACTCTACCTGCTTTCAAAATTTCAATTTTACACTCACCATTTTTCGCCTTGCGCAACATCACTGGTGAGCCAAATCTGGCATTGGCGAACCAGATACGATGCCAGTGAGCCTTGCGCGACCTCGGGAGAGGGTCTACAACACCAGGTGGCCCTTGTTAAGGGGTCATCTGAGGTCATGCGACCTCAAGCAACAGCTTCCAATACCAGATCTGTTTCGTTAGAGTCCGTGGTCACAAATAGATTTCTTTATATATTCATATTATATACTTGAAATCTTTTACAAGTCTAATTTTTTCCAAACAAAACTTAAATTAAAATATTTTTTAATTAAGTTTTACCAAATACTATTTACTTTTTGAAAAAATCAGATAACTTAAAGTCTTTTTCATTTCCTCAAAAACTTTTTCCAAAAAGCCCCATCAAACGGAGCTATAGTAAAAAGTGCATATGGACAATAAAGAAAATTTGCAATCGATCACCCTCTATTGGTTATTGATGATTAAAAAACTTTGGAGTAGTCATTTGAGTTAACATAAATTGCCTAAACTTGTACTAGCAAAATTTATATGTAAAGTACTCTCTCTTGATGGTGAAGTCAGTTCAGTCCCACAGGTACTCATTATTGGTTGGTTCTGCTCCTGTTAAAGTCCTTAGTCCTCTCGTGTTACTGTGATTGTAACGGGGGTTACAACTCAATGCCCAAAGATCGAGACAAAAAAGTACCCCTTTCCTTTCCATTCCTTCTCCCCAGCACCTTCCTCCCTCTTCCTCCTTGTCTCTCTGTCTTTCGTCTCCTAGCTATGTATATACGCAACACAAACCTGCCCTACCAAGAATAAAACACCCAGAGAGAGAGAGAGAGAGCGAGAGAGAGAGAACGCAAAAGCAAATGGGATCCAAGGCAATGGAACCAGGAGAGAGCATAGGCACAGCACCAAGAAAGCTGCTGCTAGTTTCAGTGGCCCCAAAGACGGTGGAGTCACCGGACAGATCAGGGATGAGAACACCGCCGTTCCATACAACGGCAGCTGTCCCGTTCCGGTGGGAGGAAGAGCCGGGCAAGCCGAGGCCCTGCAGTGCACTGGCCATAGTTCCGAGCTCTGGGCCTGGTGAGCCGTACTCGGCCACCAGGACGTGCTTGGAACTGCCCCCTAAGCTGCTGAGCGAGGCCATAATAGCCAAGATGCCATCATCTGTCGGTGGGCAGCAGACATCATCGTTCAGGATGGGAGGGGAGTGTTATGGATCGTTCCGGAGCTACGTGGTTGCTGAAAGAGTGGGCGACGGCGATGATGAGGAGGGCATTGATGTGGGTGTAGCGAGAGAGGGTGTCATTGTGAGGAGCAAGCCCAGTGGGTGGTGGTGGTGGTTCGGTGGGTCTTCTTGGAGTAGAAGGAAGAATAGGGAGATGAGCGGGGGCGGGAGCAGCTATGTGTTCCCTTCATTCTCATGTAATTACGTGGTGGACAGAGAGAGCAGTGAGTGGAGGAGCGAATGCAGGAACGGCAACAACAACATGAGGAGGGCAGGGAGCTTCCCTCTCCTCTCTTCCCATTCAAACTCTCACTTCAGCTGGGTGAGCAATGACCCTCTTCTCCTATTATTCCAAATCTTTCTTTAGCAGATGCAAAAGGATCTTTCTCTATTCCAACAAGGGCTAAAATAATCAGAGTCTGGATGCATGACAGGCAACTCTGTACGGGGGATTGAAGGAGGCGATACCTTGGAGGAGGAGGAGGAGTGGGAAAGCCGGGAAGATGCGATCGTGAATCAGCCATATGTCTCTCGACATTTTGCTAATGCCACGTCTCCATCATCGCCCTGTCATCCCGATTCCAGCCAACGTCGTGTTTCGTCCATTATCAGTTTTCTGCGCATTTGAGACGTAGCCAACACAGTCAAATGAGAGTCCCCCCATTGCGCTGCTGCTATCTTCCAACTATAAATGCCAACATGAAATTCAATGCAAGGTCTTGTGGCCTCTCTTGGCCGCTTTAGCTGCGAGTGTGTTAGTCGTGTACAAAGCAGAAGCAGTGCCTCTTTGGTTGCGACATTGTTTTCTTAGTCTGATTAAACAGCATGTCTAGAGGATCACCGAGAGAATAAACCCTGTGAAATTACTAGTTTTTAAGATGCGTACAGTGCTAGTTTATGGATGTGGCTTTGGCTGACCATATGTTCAAAAGTCTATCTACATTTTACATGTGCATTTTTCATTACTTTTCCCGTTGTCTAAGGCGGATAAATCCACACGATGTTGCCTAAACTAAAGGGCTGTGACCCTACCATCAACTTTTTAGTAATCGTGATTCACGAAATCCAAAATATTCCCTTTGCAGAAAGTTAGTGAGCGGCAGAGCAACTTCATCACGAAATATCTGATGTACTCCAGCTCCACCGACAATAAAAAGCTAGAGAGGAAGTCAAGCAAGCATTCTTCAACAACAATTTATCCTCTTCCACAAATTGCATGAAGTTCACAACTATGAAGAAATATGCAGTGAGCGATTAAGCAATTATCCTAATACGTCTCCACATGCACAGAGTGACTTCAGATGAACCGTATCATCAATATAAATCCTGCTCCAATTGGAGAAAATTTATGATGAGCCTTCATCAAAACGAAGAAAGAAAACACTTATTTGGCTGCCGATGAAGATACAGCAGAGAGAGGGCACTTCATGATGGTCAACCTTATGCTTGCTTTTTACCAGTCATCCCGGCAACCACCTGTAAATACATAAGAGGTCATTAGCATTAACAGAGCAGCCCATAAGCGTAACCAAGCTATCAACATAGGCAACGAAATGACACTAGTGAAAAGAGAAAAACAGAATAAGGGTTAAACTTTCAAATGTGGCAAGCAGAGTTTCGAATAATAATCCAGCTCTTCAATTGTTTAGGCCACTGGTTACTCTTTAAGTGAGTTCAAAGAATCCCCCATTCATCTTTTTGTTTTCCTCCCTTTCAGTGACCGCAATAGCCATATTGAAGATACAAGAAAAGGGGCTAACAATAACGATATATAAAGTTCGCAATTCGAGACTAAGAAGCATAGTTTACATTGGAACTTGCAATTTTTGTGACAATAGATGCAAGAGCACCAGGTGGCAATGGGAGGTAAATTCACGGTCTCAGCATCCTCAAAGACAGCCACTAACAGCAACAAAACCGCATATATATGCTGATATAAATTACATAACCACTGACATTATACTTGATACTCACAAGGAAACTATTAGAACTACTAGAGAAACTTATGTACAAGCACATGACATATAGAATACTACTAAATCAGCACTTTATCTACCCAAACTGTTAAAGGATGATCCGAAAGACTAGCATAAATGTTACTTACATCACTTATAGGAGTTTGGGGGACTTGCTTGGAAGTTTCCAATGAATCCAATATGGGCCTCACCACAGCAGGAAGGAAGAGGCCTGAAGTACATAAAATTAATTTGCCAGATGAAGAACACAGAATTGCTGATATTCTTTAGCGTGCAAAAAACAACTTTTCCATGCAATAAGTCTTGTGAATACGGGAGTGTGTCGAATCAACAACCCAATAGTCTGCTTTATAAAACTGAAATCCACATTTAAACTAGCACATAGCCTCTAGCACTGAAAACTAACATGTATGGATAATGCCACTATTATGATGAAGAAGCATAATATATTACAAACCCTTCAGCTCATGTCAAAGAACATCTCTTTCACATTTTCCTATCCGGCACAAAGTTGCTCTTTCCTAGCACCTGAAGTTGCAGACAATGCAACTAAACCTAGTCTTCAACGACATGGTGGCTTGACCATATCGACAAGTTTACTCCAATATCAATCATTTCCCAGCACAAATTTCACGCCTAAATGGCTAAATACTAGAATGGAGAAGATACTCTACACTATGACTCAAGACTTGAGGCTTCTCAACTTCAGTTCAGAAGTAACTAGAAAGCACCTCCAATTCTTCAAGTCAGAAGTAACTAAATCACTCATACTGCATAACAGGGATCAGCAATTCACTCTTCCGCCAACCAGGCGTTAATTCCTTTATCCTCATAAATCATGATTGTTCTCTAGTGAAATTAAAAACACTCCATAAGGCAAGACCAGTACTCTCAACTTTTAAGGTGTACATGCGAGGGTGCTAGGCGAAAAAGTCACAAACTGAGGATCTGGTGTTATGTAATATATCATAGTTGATTCATAACTCATTCGCTTAAATTTTTTAGTGAAGGTATGTCCAACTCGATATGTTAACGGGTTGGGACTTGAGTTCCTTCATGATGATCTCTCCGGATGAAAGTATCGGGCTCATGTTGGGTTGACCAAACAAGCGGTATAAGAATCGATGGTAATTCATGCCCACTCCGGTGACTAGCGAATATCTCAAGAAAGGAAAATCTCATATGTGAATCTCTAATCGAGGTGAGGGATGGTGTCCCCTGACTTCCCGCGAAGCTTGGCTGAGCCAAGACGACTGAGGTGGAGTCTGAAGGGTGGATGTTGCCCTCACAAACTTGCCAAACTTGGGCTGGCCAAAGCGGAGATTCTCGAGAGGAGATGACGTTGGTGCAAAAAGATAACCGGATTAAATGGATTAACTGGGAGCGGGTCTAACACAAGTGGCTCACACGTGAGGGCGAGATTTGTTAAGGTGCACATGTGAAGGTGTTAGGGGAAACAAGTCCCAAATCGAGTCGAACTAGATACGTTGACGGGCTTGGAGTTATGCACTCTCTTGGTAATCTCACCAACGAAGGTATCAGGAGTCTATTGCGTCGATACAACAATTCACTCTTCTGCTAACTGTGCATTAATTCCATTATATCATTCCTCATAAATCATGATAGTTCTCTAGTGAAATAAAAGGACTCCATAAAGTGAGACTAGTTTCTTAACCACCTCTGCTCTATAACAAAACCTAGCATTGTTAGGCCCTTTAGTGTGCTGAACACTATCTAAAAGTTCCCTTCCACTTTATCCGAATTTCCTAAGCAAGTTAGGTGCTATGTTGAGACGAGTAAAGTATCGCAAGTTAATGATACATGAAAAAGGATTTCCCTTTACGAAACGAAGGAATATAAAAGATGGTTCCTGAACCAAGATGAGAGGTTAGCTACAGGAAAACTCACAAAACAGGAGGCGGCAACACCAAGTTTCATCTTTAACACATCGAAAGAAGAAAGAAGGACCGTCTACTTAAGCCTCATTAATTCAGATAATGACGCAACAATGTAGCCCCAAAAAGCGCCAATATCAGCTCAGCTCAGACAGCTGAGCTGATTGTACCTCGAGGAGCACACCGATGATGATTCCGGGATGCAGATTGAAGGTAATTAGGGGAATGGCACGAAATCCATGCGCCAATTTCAGCTCAGCTCAACCAAACATCTGTATGCGGACGAATCTAGTACTAGAATCGAATCGTCCCTAAGGTTAATCGCGAAATTCACGGCGCGCAATCACAATCAGCGAGCGCCCCCCCACCCCCGGGACACAAGAACGCAAACTCGGAGGCAAAAGAGAGAAGCGGCGAAGTGGGAGGGAAGCGAAGAGTGGTTACCGACGCCGGCGATGAGGCAGGAGGCGGCAACGACGGGCTCCTGCACCACGAACATCTTCAGCTTTTCCATCACCGCCATCTCTCTCTCTCTCTCTCGCTCCCCACGACGACTCCTCTTTTGACCTCGATCGGAATTTGGATCGGCCCGGTATTGAGTTCTGCTGCTTCCTTAAGAACTTGGGGGGGTCCATATCGACGGGGTCCGGATCCGGATCCGGGTCCGGGTCGGGCACTGTTTTTCATTTTCTTGTTTTTCTTTCCTTTTTTCCATTTTGTTTTGTTTTGCTTTTTTCATTCCATTTTGGGGCAGAAGTACTTGAATATTCTAAAGTCAGAAGGAGGAATCACAAGACTAAAAGAAAATTGGTAATAAGCTAAAATGGAGAGGCAATAGTAATTTTTTTTTTTTTTTGGGTTGGAAGAGGCAATGGTAGTTTACTCAACGGTAGAGTGCACGGTTTTTAAGTGCGGCCAGCATTTTTTTACACATTTATATGAAGGAATGGATTTGTTCGCACATTTGGTAGAGTTTGTAAGACCAAGATTAATCCTATCATGGTATTTATACAGACATGTGTTTATACCGGATGAATGAAACACTCTTAAGCTCCGTTTGTTTTGCATAAATGAATGATTTAAAAAAATATTATAAAAAATGATCACTCGTATTGCTTAAAATAATTAATCGATATATATTTTTTTCAATAATAGAAAATTTTTTCGTTAACTAATTATTTTAAGTGATATGAGCAGTTATTCTTAGAAAAATATTTTCAAATCGTTCATTTTTTCGTGAAACAAACGGAGCCATAGTTTGGGATCAAATGGCATCTTTCGCCACAAGAACTGAGCCGTTGAGCCTGGTTTTCTCATTGTTTTTAGGAAAAATGACACAAACAATCCCTAAATTTGGCCCAATATGCAATTTGATCCCTAAACTTTAATTTGGTCAATGTAATCCCTTAACTTTAATCCAAAATGCAATGTGATCACTGAACTTTTAATTTGTTCAATGTCCTCCCTGAACTTTTGATACATGTTCAATTCAATCCCCGAACTATATGAAATTGTTCAATGTAATCCTTCCATTAATTCAAGTTCAGGAATTACATTGAACATTTTTATATAGTTTATAGACTAAATTGAATATGTACCAAAGATTTAGATACCAAATTGAATAAATTAAAAGTTCAGGGACCATATTGAATATTAGGCTAAATTTCAGGGACTATATTAAACAAATTAAAAGTTCATGGACTGTTTGTGTCATTATCCCTTGTTTTTACTGCATATGTAAAGAGGTGGTGATCAAGTAGTAGTAGTTTCATCATAGCATGCCTAATTCATAACACTGTTCATAACACTGCAACAACAGTTAAGTCAGCTTGAAGAGAACAATCCTCTAGTCTTCTGCAACCTACATACGGAGCCAGCATGACAGAATTCTTCTCAAATGCCTTCAACAGCAAGAGTCTTAAGTAACACCATCCCTCGAGACAGTTCTGGCCACAGCCACTAATCTCTGGAAAACTAGGACTTGCTCTTTGGATCAAGAACACACCAGCATTTTGATCAGTTCATGCATCAATTGTAAAGAGAGAATCTTGAGTGCAGCCGATATGCCAGTTAAAATTGACTTTTAACTGAGCCCAATGTTGGAAACAATAGTATGGCAACAATCTCCAAATGATCTATGTGCTGATACAGAGATCTCCACCTGACATGAAGCACTTATATACAAATTTACACCTCAGTATGCAAATTATCTTCGGACTAGGCATTATATACAAGGCTCCAAAGACCTTAAGAAGGTATGACAACATTAGAAATAGATACACACCAACGCCACTCTCATGCGTGGCAATCCACGCAGGAAGCATAAGATACAGCAGCGGGCTAGAAAAGAGGTATCATCCACCCAACCGTCCACCCAAGAAGCAATCCAGCCCCAACAAGGCCCAACCCCACGGCAAAGACCACAGCATACTTGGTCACGTCGTGCTTTTGACGCTTACGTTTTCCCTGTCTCACTTTGGAAGCCTTGTCACGGCTCTTCTTCATTTTTTTACCTTTGCTAGGCACCAGAGGAAGGAACACCGGGAAAATTGGCCTGTCAGTGTTCTTCATCTGCAAGAGGTTTGTTTCTAGCTGAAGCAATTGGAACCACTGCTTGTAGGCAAAAAGCTGAGAGGCTTGTCTAAAGAAGAGCTTTACAATGTGCTCCTTCTCCGCACGTGCTTGTTCTGCAGCCTTCTCTGCTTCCCTTGCACGTGTTTGAGAATGGCACAGTGCTTCCAGTAGCTGAGTCTTAGCAGGGTCACAGTCGGTAGCTTCCCATGTTTCAGTTTTACCCTTGCGAGCTGTATCATAACTGTTTTCGCTGCAAATTTACAAAATAAAATAGAACTGAACACTTCTGCAATCAATACATGTATCTTCGTAAACTAACAATCGAGTTAAACGAACTTGTGAGGAAGCCTTATTTCTGTACTTTGATGTGACAAAAGTCTCAATATAGTAAAATGAATCATTCCTTATCGTTGTCTGTCATTATATAGTTCTCACACAAAGTATATTTACTTAATAATGGACAATTCAAGTACCTGGATGATTTGTCAGAGCCATGAGGGCAATGACCATCTTCATCTGAAGCCCACTGCCTTCTGAACATTTGGTCATATTCAGGACAACTTCCTGCCCGAATGGTTTCACCCAAAGTACCAAGCGGATCAACCTTCCAATCCGAGGATGTCTCAAATACTTCATCGTAGTCTAAGCATCCGACACACGAATAAGGGTGTTTCCTGGAATGCATATTTTGAGGTGGTGGAAGGTCACAATTCTCGACATGGTCAAGTGACTTCTTAGCAACAAAGGAGGCTAACTCGTTCTTATCTGATGTGCGCCACCATGGTTCTGGCTTCCCGTTTCTGATCCATGTAGAATCCAAATCGAAACTGAGCTCATTAGTCTGCTTGGAAGCTGACATCCCAGCATGATTTATTTCCACAAGCTCAAAGCTTTCCATCATATCCATGTTGTCAACTTCTTTTGCATCCTTACTACACAGGCCCATTATCACTGGGTTTGAACCTTCAGCATCGCGGACATTCTCAAATTTGTCATTCTTCTCATTCTCAACATGCATATAAGCTCCATCTTTCTGCATCTCACCACATTTAGATTTTAAATCTTCCGTGGTAGCATTCAGGAGATCGACCTCAGCATCCAATGCATTTAACCCTTCACATGCTAGACCCTTTGGGAACCTATAGCTAGGTCGTTGCTGAAGCCACCACCTTGCCTCTGGAGGCAAATTGGTAAATGAAGGTTTCCTGTTAAAAGGCATGAAACCTAAGCCAACATGATCTCCCTCCTCAGTAGAACCAGCAGGTCCTGCATCCACTTGTTTGGACGTTGAAGATGATGATTGGCAGCATGCCAGCTTAGGAGCTCTTTTGGCATCTTCTTGTACAAAGCAACGGTTAGCTGCTCTCTGCCATGCAGCCCTTGCTTCTGCAGCTGCCATACTCTCTCAATTTATTCCACATTCCATTGAAGAAATGAAAAGTTCGCTGAAGCTAACAAAAACAGCATAAAAGGAGCAAAGATCAGAATGAGAAATATCATGTAGTAAATAGGTCAATTAGCTGTTTGGAAGATTCTCTCTAGTCAACAACATATGATCGGCAGGAACAAATAACCCAAAGCTTCTTGGGTGTTAGTGGAGTATTAAGATAAGTACCACAGGGGCTATCAAGACCAAATCATACTATGCAGTGGAACCGAATTCCCCTCCTTGAGAAAGAGGAGAAAAGAGCAGGTGAAAAAGAAACAAGACATATAAGTTCCTTCCTTTTTTGTTATCGCATTTCTCTTCTCAGGGACTACAGGCTACATTATCAAGTTCAAGGCACTCTGCTAGTAAGACTATCTCAGCTTATATGCATGTCTAACAGTTATATCCTTCTAACAGTATGGCTATTGGCTAGAAATTAGAAAGGAAGGGAATAACAAATCCAGAATTAAACAAATGGACGTTTCACTTTTCCACTGTTCATTACAAAAGCATCGAACAAGTTCATACATATCACATGAATATAAAGGGTGCATCGACTCTCTATAATTTACAATAGAAAAGACAATATAAGACTTCCTTACAAATACATAAAGCACCAGTTGACTGACGCCCGAAGTTGAGAATAAGTGTGACAATAAAGAGAATAGCAAATCGATGACTCTAAAGCTCACATAATGATCAGTTTTTAAAACAGACACGTCTCACATTTTCCTATGGAACACATCACAAACTTGAAAATAAACTGAAGATTATAAAAGGGAACAAATGCAGCGGATCATCAAACGCACTGATGACTCCAAAATTGATAAAAAAAAAAATTAAGCAAATGCAAAGCTGGTCCCCAAGGAGAAGCACCATCATGATATATGTATGAACACGACTGAGCGTAACTCAAGACATATGTGTCTTTAAAGCATGTAGTTTGGAGATGGCAAGGCAAACTTACATAGGAAGAACTGAAAATCTACTGGTTAAAATCAGCTATAAGGAAAAATAACTGCTGGAAAGCGTGTTACTTAATTGATGACAAATTTTAGCGAGTGTAGAAAGAAGACGATTGCGATCGGAAAAGGGGAACATCCATCACCAAGCTGAAGTAAGCAGTCAGTTAATTAGCTGAACAGGGGAGAACTCAAGATCCAAAATCAAAATTTTAGATTATGGCAAAATTTACTTCCCGAATTGATCAGACAACCGCATGTGCAGACACGAGCTCACCGCCCCATCAGTTCGTACCAAAACGAAAACCAAATCCAAAATCTGCTATGGCCGTCCAAAAGAGTAGACACAGTTATCACGCATCTGAGATGCTCATCTAAAGTCAAGATACGCATCCAAACCTTAAGAAGAATAGGAAAGCGACATCCATCGGATATGGCAACAGCAAGATGCATATGGGCTAGAACACAATCAAACACTTCAGATGATAAAAATCAGGTGACACCCATCAGTCGGCAGATTCCTAAGATCAACCGTCAAACTTGAGTTCCCAAGCAGAGCCAATCAAAAAGATCAAAACTTCAGTAAAAGGAAAAACACCCAGATGAAAAAAAAAAGAACGCATAGTGAGAGAGAGAGAGAGAGAGAGAGTACATAGGTGGATTAGATCTCAGGTGGACAGGTGGGAAGCTGCAGATCTATCTAGAATTTGCAGTGGAGACATGGAAGATGAAATCAGGGGAAGCGAAACCGATCGAGATTGAGATGAAACTTCCTGAACCTGGAATCTGAGACAAAGGCGAAGACGACGCTTGTCAGACACTAAAAGGGTCGTGTCAGCCTCGGCCTTTTTCTTTAGCAGTTACCACGTTGATTTTGATTCACTTACCCTTTTTTTTCTTTTTCTTTTTGTTTTTCCCTTTGTGCTTCGCAGAGTCCCCACCGTCTGTTCCCACGTCTCCACTCTTTCATCTCTGTCTTTAAGCAAGGCAAAAACTGTCAGTTCCTTCTCACCCTTGCAATTCACGACACTCTACCTCATAATAAACTAATCTTTTTGAACCATTAGATTACGGGATCAGCAACTCCCACCAAAAAACAGCTTCTTTATCTCTGTTCCTGAGCTGTGGGCTAACTAAAACTGCACACAGAAATTACAGTTGGGTATAAACTTGACTTTTTCTGGGTGGGTTTATGCACTAAGTCTCCTTCCCCATGTGAATAGTTGCTGTCTAAACAGAGAGGTTTGTCGTTCTGTGATCCGCGTTTTGTAGAAGATAACGACCCAGTCATCAGCAGGGGCTCAGGATCAAGGAACTAGCACGCCAACTAGGAATTAGATTACTGGTTTCAACATAAGCAATATGCGAGACATGAAATATAATATGCACATGAGCTGGGAAAACCAACCACTCTGCTCGAGGATTTGCTCGGAGCCATATGATATCAATCATAAATGTAGACACTAAGGTCAATTTTTTTTTGTTGAAGGGATGTTTTGCTAGGAAATATTGTTTAGGAATCAACCATCAGTAATCATAATACGACTCGTACGGCTTTTGTTTTTTTAAAGTGGTTTTCACTTAGAAAGTATCGGAGATAGGTTTATGATTCCAATGAGCGTGTGTTTCTGTGGGAGATTTAACTTAGTCATCAACCGTTGCCTGTTGATTGAAATTGTGTGCACTAGAAGGGAATGGTGTGATGCCGTGAAAAAAAAAACTAAATTTCTTATGTAGAACGCTTTTCAGTTGGCATAGATTATTTTGAATAATTATCAGTAAAGTTAAATCTAAATATATGTGCTCACGTTATAAAAAAATTTCCGATGAAATTGACAATTTTTGTAAAGGAAATTGATATTTGTCTGCTTCGTGAAGAAATCAATAGTTCATCTCAATAATTCAATCAAGAAAGAATAATTCATTTATCAGATTAATTCCTCTCACCTCAATTTGATAAAATGAATTAATCTGGTGAAAAAAAAAGATCAATTCGATAAAGAAAAACTAATTTCTACAAAAGTAATCGCCCTCTCATCATATGTCACACATATAATATGTATCACAAATAAAATGCTAAGAATGACCCCATCTTGATACGCCACATTAATGAAAGCTTGATTAATTAAGATAGAGATTACGGATATTAATCGTATCATTTGACAATAACACGACAGCATTTCCAATTTTTCATCCCTAATTTGATTATCATATAGTAATTAAATTTAGAAAACGAAATGAATTATTTAAATTTGGATTTAAAGGATCACAACAAAACGAAATCAAAGAAGAGAAAGATACATATATAGATTGATTTGGAAATATAAGAACAAAAGTATAGTTGTATGCTTAAAAGATAAGTAACAATCACAAAAGATGAGATTTCCTTTAATTAGGCATATACAATGATAAAAGAAAAGAAAACAGGAAAATTAAATCATGTAAAATCTTATATTTGCTCAAACGGAATGGCGGCACTTTTGGGCAAAACGAAACAGAAACGGAAGAAAGATAGCCCATCCATCCATCACCATTGGACCACTCATACACGTTCGTCACATTAATGCAGCACTCATCCGTACGAAAATCATCACGAGTTAGTAGGGCTCAACTGCCATCGCCGATTGACACGTGACGCTGTCCGGTGGAAGAACGGCACATTAAGATCGAGGGGGACTACGATGATGCAACGAGCATTCATATGTTTTTGAAGCAGCTCGTCTTCGGAAAAACGAGGAAGTACGTGGGGGACTATTCCGTTGTCCTGTCGTGATGGTATAATGCTAAGCACATCAAGTATACACTAATCAAAAAATGTCTCACAGACCAGCATTTGTCTTGTGTATCTCCTTCTGCAAATCGTACATTATAAATGCACATAAGACTCCAACAGAAATCAGCTTAATGACTGCCGTTCATTATCCTCGCTCATCAGGTCTTGCGGAGAAGTCAGTTTACTTTGTTTTTCCCTGTTTTCATCTTTAGGAAGCAACTGCGTAAGACGACTACGAGAGAGTCAATCACAATTCTTTCTTCGTATACAGTTCCTTCATCAAGAAAGTTACATATGGACACTGCTCTGTAGGAAAAAAAAATTACACTTGCACCCAAGTGATGCATGCTCAACCCCCTTGTTCAACAACAAACTATACACTTCAAATAGGAATTAGGAACCATTGTCCTGGGTATGCAATGTGATTTATGAACATCGCTGCCAAGGGAAAAGATGATCAAAGCAGAGCACTGTGAATTTATCTACATAATATGGCTTTCTCCTCCAGCACTCCAATCGAATCCCGTTCTGGATGAACTGGTTGCTTTGGTAAAAACTTGCCTTCCCCAGAATAATCTAAAAGGAAGCTTGCTTGCTACAGTCTATCCTTTAGGAGCTGAACAATGGGAACACAGTGCAAAGTTGCAGTTGTGACTGTTGACGATAAAGCCCATACGACGTCCTTGAATTCACCCCATCTGGAGATGTTGATATATCTCTTGCAGAAATAATTATGCACCTTCAGCGCATCCCTCATACATAATCTTTTAGTCGAACCAGCTTTACAGAGCCATCGCCCCCACAGGTAAGAAACCCATGTGAAACAAGCTGCACATCCGTAACACCAGCCTGTTGCATATAAAGATATTATTTAATAAGTAGAGGCATCGAGCTAATTTCTTCTGCATCCCGGGGAATCAAACTGCTCTATACAGTATGTACAGAATAAATATATAGCTACGTCCAGAGATAATATATGGTGATGTCCTATTACAAACTTGATTGCAAGAATGTTACCCTTACGACTCCGCCAAAACCCCGAGTGCTTGGTTGTAGAAAAGTGTGCCTTTCATGTAATTTTGGCCAATGATGTAGTAACTTGGCGCTTTTGGCATCCCAAAGTTTGACATCACCATCTTTGCTTCCAGTTAAGAACAAGCTCGTCTGAGCAATTGGGGATATTTTCGTAACACTCCCTTCACAACAAGAAATACACAAAAATCAGAACATAACACACATTCTAATGATTATGGCGGTAGGAAAGTACATCACATTACCTAAATGCGCCTTTGGTATGTACCAGAGCATCCCACCTACATTCTCGACCCCAAACTTAGTACCAGTCCCTACCGTCAAGTCAGTAGACAAAGTTGCCTGGGAACTACGCTGACTATTATCAGAGCTCTTGTGCCTTTTACTCCTTCCGGTTGCAATATACCGAAAATCATGGAGTCCAACATCACCGCCCTTACCACCAGTCAATATGAGGGGAGAAACGGAACTATTTCCCACATCATTATCAAACACACAAATAGAGCGAGCTCCACCTGCACAGAAAGTACAAAAGTTTGACAAGATCCATGGTCAAGGATGATAACACGATAGCACCTTTCCACCTATTGCTTTTTTTAAGTTCCAAAAATGCATCATGTAGCTATGCACTAACTTCAAACGAGAATAATTAAATCGTCTGCCACTACAATTAACTTTGGGGCAAGCCTTGTAGACGGTAAAGTTGCTTCATGGCAATATGGAAGTCATAGGCAAAAGTCACAAATGAGCTTCTCCGCAGTGAAGAGGGTAAAGCTGTCAAATGTTTGACGAGGACCCTCTCTAGACACAAATGCAGGGGTATTCTGCACTGGGACATTATTTTTGCCCGTACCTTATGCTCCCTCCAATCGATTACACCAACATTCAGAATCAATGAAGTCATCTCCTCATTTGGCTTGAAAAGAGACACTACCTCATTTAGATGTGGTGTCCTCGTAGGTGACATCTGGGGTTTAGAAAGTACAAATCAAGCACAAAATTCATATTTTCAGTTGAAGAAAAATGACAGACCTTCATGACAGATTATAGAGGCTTGAGAAGTAGAAGGTGGAGCCAGTGTATCCCATACAACCACATTCATGTTATTGGAGCTGCATCCAGCTGCAGCTATTATTGATCCACTCGAACTAACGTAGGCAATGTCCCTGCAACCAAAATTAAACTCAATACGGCGTACATCTAGTGCCACGAGGAAGGTGGGTGGTGGATAAAATTCTCAAATTGATAATGAAAAGCCACGATATTCACCGGTGTGCTCTCATCAGCATTGAATGAATTCAATTATGTACCATTTAAAGAACAAACAGGGATAAGTACCCAAAAGAAAATAGGACACCAACGCTATGAGAAGGAAAGTGCTGTCTCAGGACCAAAAATGACGACTTCCACAAAAAAAATTGTCAATAGTTATCCGCAGCAATTCATTCTGTTCTCTGTTACTTTATTTCACAAAGTCCCTCAGTGAAAAATCCTGATCTGAAGTACAGAGGAAAATCTCGAATCAACCAAATAAGTAAGAAGACAGGCCGTGCATCGTTATTTCTATTCCCAATTTCCAGTACCACGTGCAGAAGAAATTAAACAAGATAGTGATTGCTCAACAAATCTGAAGAGGTTACACATACGAGGCATGGCCGTTAAAGCAAAGAGATGATTCAGTCGGACGAATGTTGCTCCTTCCTCCAACCTCCAGCTGCCATGAGCATATGGTCCCATCTAATGCGGCTGTAGCAAATCTGTGTCCACAAGGGTCAAACTGCAAGGCTGATATAGATGCAAGAGCATAAGGTGGAGGGCTATTTGCAGCAGGCAGCACCCCATAAGTAGCAATAGCTTTTTCCTCACCAAACTGCATTTATCAATTATGTTACAATCGTTTTACAGTAATATTGCGACAGAAGTTCAAAGCAGTAAGTTAACAACCCACAAATCGCAGTACCAAGATATGAAAGTGATAAACGTGGCACAACTCATAAAAATAGATCTCACAGATCCCAGCAGTGTAGACCTGAAACTTAAGAAGATCATAGAAACAGAGAAGTGTAGAACAGAAGGGTACTCAATGCAATATTATTCCTTTTGCGGATTGGCATTGCTTTTTCTGGCTGGGAACTTCTCTCAGCATGTTCTTTTCATTGAGCGCACATCAATATACATTAATTCACGAACAAAAGGGCACAGAAAGAATGGTGCGGAAAAATTTTTAGAAAACAAAATCAAAATTCATAGAAGAGAAAATATTCCCGATTGTCCCAAGCCAAAGTTGCAGACCATCAAGTTTAAAAGAGCAAATTGATAAAAGTGGAAAAGAGCCTTCTCGCTCGATTCTGTATAAACAATTCCTCAAAGCCAAACTGACGAAACAGCCAAATAAAAGATCTAGCAAATGATAATTGACGCAATCCCACATTTGACTTTGGTAAAATTGATCATTTGTCCGCTGCAACAAATCATACCTTCCATAAGTAGATATGTGTATTGCTGGAGCCAACCAAGAAGTACGGCATGGATGGGTGACTAGAAAGAGCCCTAGTTCTTACAGTTTCCAAGTAAGCTGATTGTTCAACAAACTCTTCAAATTTATCTTGAGTTTCCCAACCTAAGCCAGAGGCACCAATGCCAGCATAACCTGGAATACCAAATGCTACAGCACCTGTCAGGTCTCTCCCCGGCATGGCCAAAGATCCCATCCCCGTAGTTGCTCCACCAAATCCCAGATGTGACCTTGTTTTGCTCCAAAGAATGGATTCAGAGTCAGCCCAACCATGCTGTGGCCAATCAGCTTCTGACCATACATGCTCCAATCCTTCTTTATAAGGTAATTCTTGATCCAAGTTGACGAAAATTATACCCTATATAAGACGACCACGCATTAGGAATACTGTATGAGTAGTCAGAAGAATTTATATCTGATAAAAGTAAAAGAGTGTAACAAACCATGGAGTCGGCACGTCAATGCTTATTAAAACATGTTAGAAGCTAGTTGAAGTGTTTTAACTCATCAAATTGCAATACAAGGAGCTTCCGTTAAAATTTTCTTCATTTTGTAGAATTTATGTCTATGACCCCAAAGTGATTATATTTTTTATTGCAGATAAAGTAATTTTTTCATTAACTAGCATTACGGGATGCAAACATGTCTAGGTAGCCAAAAGACTTGTCACCGTTACCAAGTAGTTACGTAGTGATCAGCACAATTCAAATGCTCACAAACAGAATGCTTTAAGGATCACTACTAATATTAGTATCTATGCGCAGGAATCACTCACCTTTCTATTACTAGAAACTGCAACTTGCCGCTCATTGATGGAGTTAATGCATAATGCCTGTTCAAAACATCAAAACTATGTCAACATCATGTAAGATTGAGATCTAGATATTAGCTTCAAGGACCTACTACCACCTTCAGGCAGTTTGATCCATCAATAACATACTGCTATATAAATGCAATGGGAGGGGTGAACGGAAAAATTACCTCGATGAGCTCGCCATTTCTCTTTAAAATATCTTTAGGATTTTGAAAATGAGTGATCTCCTTCATAAGGTTGGGTTCTTTATGCCAAGAACTCAACAAAGAGTTGCCATTTGAAAATAATCCCTTAGAAAGAGACCCACTCACGCTGCTGGTAGAATCAGTGCTACACTTACTTCCATTGTTCCTCGATTCATTTTCCTCCAATGTCATCCCTTCATGTACTCGTGTCCAACCTTTAGAAGATTTAGTGTTTACATATTCTAACCAATTTATTTTCTCCAAGGCAAAACTGTCTGATATAATATGACGATCAGCCCATAAAGTCCATAGTTTTTCGTACATTGATAGTTCAGTATCACTGTTAACTGGATCCAAACTAGTATTAGTATCGCTCAGATGAGTTTGGAGAGATCTGGGTTCAGTCAGATCAGACTTTTGCAACCACACAAGAGTCATTGCTGGCCATCCATTGTCAACTTTCTGCTGCACTAGGGCTGCAAGTTGTTTAGTGTGATATGAAGAAACATGAGCAGAAATTGTCTTCAGTGACTGGACCAGAAAAACTGATAGCAGCTCAATCTGTTCTCTCATATTCTTGTCATCAGCTTCAAGATAAGCAGAACTGCATACTTTTGAACAAAGTTCACTAAGAGAAGTACCAAAAAGGTGTCTGTCTTGAACTGTTTCCAACATGAAATTCAGCTTATGGTTCATAAAACGAGACATATGTTCCCATAGCGAACATCCCAAAATTTGCCATCTTTCATCTTCAGTAATCATGTGTACTATGTCTCCTCCATGTTCGCCTTTCACACTTCCAGTTGATTGTGGATCACATTTGACAGTATCGACAGTGGCAGTATCAGATAAAAAATTTTCCATTTGGTGGAGAACTTTGGATAGATCTTCCATATCCACATTGTGAGTTGTATGACCATTGAAAAGAGAAACTGTGAGGGGTTGCAAAATCAAACTGAGAGCTTTTAAGTTCCTCTGAAACCAAATGTAAGCAAAATGAGCAAAATACTCGAATAAATCAAGTATGGCAAAAGGTTTCGTGATAAAGTCTGCATCATTGGAGTTCAAAGATAACTGGAAAACAGCTCGTAATTTCCTAAATAGAAGTATAAGAGTTTGAAATAGAATTCCCCCAGCAACTGACAATTTGGATCCTATTTCATCCCGCTCAGTCTTCATGAAATCATGTGAATCCAGTAGAGAGAAGGATATACTACAGGCTGCAATGAATCGCAAAGACAAGACAGAAACTTCTGCAGCTGCTGCCAATGGAAGCTTTGGATGAGAGGGTTCTAGACTGCCAAGCAGATCATTCCCATCATAAGTCTTTTGCCGACAATAATACCCTTGTAATAGATCAAATCCAATCAAAAAGGAGCCCTTATAGTATGCAAACCGTGATATCTGCAAACATATACCATGTAAAACAAAAGCATGTTAGTTTGCCAACAGTCAACGGGTGAGAAGCAGGGAAAACATATACTGTCACATGTAATGACTCAAAAGTCAATATACCATGCTAAGAAGAGAGGCAGCATCCACAGAGAACTTCTGCTCAACAACCTCCAAGCCAGCATATAGCTTATCTCGGAACTCTGGCAGTAGTTTCTTCAATTCATGCATCTTATACTCAAAGTATGACCTAGATCCAACAGATCCCATACTTGAGTATGGCCAAGATGGGTGTTCTTTAATTAATTTTGAGAAGTGTTGGAGTGCACAATCGAGTTTATAATGAGATTCCAAATGGGTGGATGCATCATTGGACAGCCAATTTGAGGGACTATTCATGGATGCTTTTGGTCTGCTCAGTAGAACTTCAGAAAGCCCATTATTGAACATGCCCCAATCATCACATCCCCTGTCAAAGCTTGGAGAAGAACAGTGCTCCATAGCTTCAAGCTAATTCAAACAGAACCAAAAAGAAAGCTGTAGAGCTCACTGAGAATTATTGCAACAGAACAAATTCATCTATAGATGCAGACAACTTAGCAAGTACCATGAATTTTCATAAGAGAAGCGAACATATGACATTCTTGATCTTTTATAACCCTAATTAGGAGAAAACAATACTTACAGGAAGCCCACTTCTTTTCAAGGCAGTAGCTGTGATCAGACATGCCCACCTCCCAAAAAATGCAGCATTCTGCTCCCCAACAGCATTCTTCATACGATTCTTAGCTGCAAGCAGAATGCAGTATAAACCAACACTTGGGTCCAGAAAGGCAACGTGATTAGACAATGGGGTATATTCATTTGCGATAGGACCATTTCGGCACTTAAACATGCTCAAGAAAGATTTCGAGTAGTTCCCCAGCTGCCACTGCAAAAGAAAGAGATATTTATGATGGCTACGAGCATCTAATGTTGCATTTATATCCATAACCAAAAGCTAGAAATAAGCCAAAAATTAGCTAGAATAATAGGACACCTCTAGAAGACTGGAAAGCCAGTAGTCACCCTTCTCAATTGCGGAAGGAAGCATGAACTTTGTTATTGATTGATGCTCAGTTGGTCCATCGCACCCCTCAACAAGGCGACAGATAACTAGAGCAAGCTGCTCATCCCCGAGATTCTTAATACAAACAGTCACTGCAGAAGAAATATCACCTCCAAGCAGGAAAAAAGCAACTGCAAGCTCTAGCTGATGTCTCCCTAGCAAGACATATGCATTTTTAAGTGCAGCAGCCTTGTTTTTCTCCTCCTGTCATGAAAATGCAGATTGAAACGAAGACATGAAAAGGGTTACCAGAAACGAATAAAATTCCTATATTATCTAAAAAGACAAATGAAATGTACAACACAACCAGGAGCTTGAGAAATTCGCTGACATTGCAAAATTAGTGATGTGACAGGAACTTCTTTCCTCTTCCTTTCAATATCTTTCCATAAATCAGTGACATGACGTTACACATCAGTTCTGTCACACAGTACCTGAAAATTGCGAAAGAGGAATCCAACTAAAGGCTTATCCTTCTCATCCCTGCTTAATTTAAACAGGCCAGCCAAAACTTGAAGTCTGTTTAATGATACATATAGAAGTGCACAGTCTTTAGGATCTTTTCTCTTTAAATATTGTGATCTTGCCAGCTTCTCCATCTGCAATAAAACAACCTCCATCAGATAGCTCGAAGAAGGAAAGTCTAATCGGCACTTAACAAACAAACAAATCTGCAAGTTTAATAACAATCAGATCCCAAAGGATTTAAAAACCAATTTGTTGCAGGGAAGAACACCAGAGTAACTCCCCAGGTTTTCCCAAAAATTATAAATAATAATAAGAGGAGCTAGGTGAACTCCCAGGTAGAGATCTTCTCCAACCCCCAAAAATGTCCTGGCAATAAAGCAGAAAATGCATAGACCAAGTGGCTTGAAGCCGTATAAAAATGAGGAATCCAAGTTCCATACTCATCAGATACATAGTCACATGCCTTAATAGTGGAGGAGCAAAACTAACCCTTGCACGCAATTGTGATGCATCGGTTAACCAAAGTCCAACTCCAATAGCTCGCATTTCTTGCCAAGAAGATGCATTTGAGAGAAACGAATCTAATAGATTATCCTGACAGTCAGAGTGAAAGGCCCAGCAAATTGATGCAGAATCAATGACTAACTCTTCCATTGATGCCATCCTTCCACACTTTTGGAGGAAATGAAGTTGTTCGTATCTCACTGAGACCCAAAACCTGGGGCAGAGTTGAAGCAGAAATCATGGAAAGAAAATCTGATAAGTATTTAGATATAAAAGGCTCTTCTAGATCATGAAGTCCCCAGTTCTGAACACAATTTGGGAAAAAGCACTGAGAGAGAGGAGATTTCATTGGCACATGATAAGAGCACAGAGCATGTCCTAATCATGCCATCTCTAATGACAAGTAAATACGCAGAAACTGCTCAAGGCTCAAACAGATGTTCGATTCTCCCTATAAGTAACAACTCCTTTCCAGCACTGGTACTGCAAGCAGAACTCTATAACTCGTTTGGCTGGAGGAATGGGCTTTCATACCTTTCCTAGAGTTGGTAACACTTTTTAGTTTAAACCGGCTTTACAGCAAAATATGGACAACAGGGTAGAAGATCTACTTGTCACAGAAGAGGTGTCCAAAATACTACTCTGCAATTTTTCACAAGAAGATCACTAACACAAGTCTAAGTTCTCACTGAGCTTTGCATAACACGGGCGGGGAGAACAAAATTTACTTTAAGGCGTGCCCAACCATAAAAGATTTTGACTGCATCAACTTCCAGAGTCAATGCATACTCTCGCATTCATCATAAGCAAATTATCACTTCAACCAAGCCTAAAAAACAACCATGACCATTGCATTAGCTCAATAGAAGGAAAAGATGTGATCATTACATGACCAACAATACCAAGCAGCAGGAAAGCAACTCATATTACCAAGTAATGCAAATCAACCATATTGAGGCTTACCTTCGTCCAGGCTCATCAAGACTTTCATAAACAGAGGTAGAATGCGAATGATTGACTTCACTGAGAAGATCAATAATTGCTAGAATTTCCATCTTCTCTTTTTGTGACATAGCTTCTAACTCGTGCCCCCTCTCAAGAGTGTTGATGGAGCTACTAAGTTCAGATTTTAATGACAAGGAATTAGGTCTATTACTGGAAGCATCATAGTCAAACTTAGAAGATAAATCAGTCGAGCCTCTTTCAAAACTGAAGGATGATGTTATTGAAGTGGCACCTCCACTCCACTGAATTTGTCTGGCTGGAGAACTTTCTAAAGCAACGCCTTCAAGATAACTTGACAGAACTATTTGTGGAACAATTTGGCGTGATTTGGCTCTCTTCCCATGAGCTTCGGAAGAAAGATGTGCAACAAGATGCTGCAAGGCCAGATATGCACGCTTCCAATTGCCTGGAATATATCAAAGTATGGGAACATAGATATATTTTGAAGCATTCATTTAAAGCTAATGATTAAAAGCACTTAAAAAACTGGTAAAAGGATAAGTTGGTGGTGAAGAGTTTGCTCTCTAAGGTTATTTTGAGAAAAAAAACAGCTAATACGGCCACATTCTATTCCCTGAATAAGTTCCGTGTGAACAAATTCACTGATAGTCCCCCTTCCACTACAAGTAGCCCTCACTTCAAATTCATGCAGTCTGCCTACCAAATGAAGGAACACTCCTCAATCTTGTCCAATCTAATGATGTCTAAAGTCTACAACCTCCTTTGGTGACAGCAAATCATCACTCCGTATCCAAGCTTGTTGTAATTTTACGTTACTGTACATTTAAAAAAACCGTAGAATAAAATTGTCGCATGAGAGAGAGAGAGAGAGAGAACTAGTATAACAGGGAACATATTCTCATCAGATTATCCAAGTAACTATTTTTATATTCTGATCCTAAGTCTGATCCATACACCACCCAATTCTCTTTCCTAATTGCTAGTCCACGAAAGAAAATAAAAGAGAACAATTGCTGACAACAAAACAATATCCAACAAAAAAATTCAATGCATGCCCAATATATCAGCAGCCCCTGACATTCAAAAGTATTACCCACTATTCAGTCCACTCGTAAAGCACCCATAGCACTTACCAAATCAGAAAGAAGCCGACGAAAATCAAAATATCAGGCAAGCAACGACCATTAAAAGAAGAGATTAGAAGGATTTGCAATTTTAACAACATGAACACTAGGTTATCTAACCCCACCTATAAACCTAGGCCCAGTTGTAGCAAATGACATAGCTATAAATGTGGCAAAATGTCATGGAAGCTCACAATGCCAAGTCACAGAAAGAACATCGGGAAGTTACTTTATAATCTACGCAGCAATTGAAGGTACCTGAAAATATGTTAAAAAGGAGAGCCTGTGGATGATATAAAGGAAGAGATCCACACAACTTCTCCAGTATTTCTAACATGCTCCAGAATTTGAACTTTGTAGGAAAACAATATTCTGATGTAGCCCTTTCTACACATAGACAACTGGCTAGAAGATCACAATTCAAGCTCAAATTTTTAGCAGTCCCAGAGGTCCATGACTTGCCACTGCTTTCAACTGATAAATTTTCAAATTTATGAATGTCAAGATCAGTGAAAATTGGAGCAAGAATGCCAATGTTTGGGCCTCTTTCACTATTCCATGGAATATTATTTTCCACTGCTAGATGAGAATTCCCCAGATAGCCACTATCTACAAGGAATAACAACTGACTGAATGAGCAGATGTGATTTTCATGAACAACCACACCTGTTGCCTGGGGACCCCAAATAAAGTCATACGCAGGAGATGATAAGCGAGCATGTGCAATGCAAAACCAAATATGCATATGATAAGGCTTTCCAGAATTCAACAAACTCTGACTACCAGCTCGCCTTTCTGCATAAACCTGCAATTTATCTTGCATGCATACTCCAAGAATCTGTTGGCCATTACCTAATGCTAACCACTTCATAGCAATGACACATCCATCCAGGGATACCGTATCTTCTAACAATAGGTGTCCTGCTCCCATCATATTAACAGCGCCCCATATACTTAGAGTACCGACAGTATCAGAATTACTAGCCCTGCATATGATTGCAATCTTCTGACCACAATCAGTAAGACACACTTTACTAATCGAATTTTGATGTGCAGCAACCATACCCACAAGCTCCCATCTGACAGTGGCAGCAGATACTTCAGTCCCATTACTTCTCCACAACTTCAAGCTACCATCTCTGCAGCCTGCTGCCATCACAAATGCAGGAGAATTGCTGCACTGTTCATCATAAATACACTTCCAATCCTGTCGTATAGATGATAAGGAAAGACCAGGACTTACTATGGAGAAACTGGTGATAGCGTCACGGTTGTGAGAATCAGGGTATTGTGGAGAACAAGGAGATACGAGAATAGAATATCCTTTGCCACAAAAAATACTCTCAAATTTTGACATGCTGCTCCAAGCTGGGTGGTTGGTCTCAAAATCACATTCACGACTGCGTCCAGATAAATCATAGTATTGTACAGCAATGTCCCATGATAACGTATAAAACCCATTAATCCATGCAGCCAAAAGCATGAAGCCATCATATTTGAAGTCTTTGTTGGTCAGAGGAATTGAAAAGATATCTGTGGGGCCTTCTTCAGGAGCAACACTATCACAAAAAGGAATAGTGCATAATCTGTGACATTCTACTTTTTGCACTTCCTTTTCAGAAACTTTAACCACAAAGCAATCAATCCCACCATGATATCCCATCAGAACAATGCAGTCATCATTCATTGCTAAAGGTGCCCAGACCAAGCTGGTATATTTTGGCCCTTTTTCTTGTGTCACAAGTTTTCCGGAGAGCTTCCACGAGGGAATCGTGGTTGGAAACCCAGGAAACTCATTGGTAATGGTGGAAAATGACCAAAATAAGAGCAAACCATTAGAATCCAAGGAAGCGGCTAATCTGACTTCGCAGTGATTAGGATGCACAGCAACTCGTAAGATTTTTTCAGAATGACCATCTATAGCTAGTTCACCACCAGCAGAACCTGATAAAAACTTCTCTTTTGGAGAAGTACCAAGAGACAAATCTCTTACATTATCTGCAACCTGAGTGTACAGAAGCAACCAAACCATCGAATTGCAGGGTGAAAGGTGAATAAAAGAGCATAAAACAGGTGGTCCAGATGAATTATTCCTTGAGATGATTGCTTTCTTCACAGGGTGTTGATCTTTGATATTCAAATATGAGACTTTGTGAAGATGCCCCGAGTCAAGACACTGCAGGTCCTTTGACTTCCATAATGTCAACCGAGGGTGCCTAAGAGGAGAAAATTCATCAAGACAATGGATTGCCCAGAATGTAATCTTCAACTCTGGACCAATGCCTACTACCCATTCACATCGGCCAGTCTTTTCATGCTCAGAAAACTCCGTGGGGAAAATCTGGCCACTTTCTTTGCCAATTTTAAACAACGCCCTCTTTTCTTCTGCCCAAGTAACAAAAAAGCTCTCACCGAGAGTTGCACCAAGAACCATGTTTGTCTCGATTACAGCAACAACACAAAACGAATGCCGTATGAACTTGGGATCCTTGGTGTCCTTCTCCATCTTTCTTGTTCGTCCATAATCCATCTCACTCCATAACCTCACGGCTCCATCCAAGCAGCATGTTAGAAGGACATGTCTTGCTTTCAGATTTCCCTTAAGCCATCCTCCTTCCAATGGCCTCCATTCAATCATGAGGATAGGCTGAGGATGAAGTAGGTTAACCGTCATGTATTCAGATTTCCGATTAGTTTGACAAACTAAAACATGTTTGCACTCCTCACTGTCCGATGATCCACCAAGATGCTGCTTACTCAGATAAGGAGCTGCTGCTGATGGTCCCTCAATGGACCAAGTTGCAGAAACCAGAGTTTGCGGCTGTTCAGTTTTAAACTTCCAAGCAATCTCCCAGGAATTGCTATTGTTCTTCCACAACACCACCTCGATTCCACCTGCAATAATTCCATCCCCTGATCCGGTCCACTTGACCGCCTCCACCTTTGAAGACTGCCTGAGTACTGCATTCTGGCTCCAACAAAAAGAACCTGATGAGTACAAAACATTTAAATTTAAGAAATTCAAAACCAAAATAAAACTGCTGCGGAATATTAGTTCACGAGAGCCCCAAAGGAGAAAATGACCATGCCAAACATACTACTGATAAATAACATGTTTGGGAATCGCATCATTACTCCTTGATTTGTGCTTCGGTGCATGGAAATGGAAGAGTAGTCAATATGAGGTACATATACATGCTCTTAGAAACCGGAACCGTCCGATAAAAATTGTTTGCGACTCGAAGGAGAACAACTAAGTGGTCGAGGTCACACGCAAATACTTAAAATGACCTCTTACATGAGATCCGATAATGGAGATTAGAGAAGGAGAAGCAGTAAAGGCAACATTGAGAAGAAAAAGTTAACGAGATGGCCATTTCAAAAAACTCTTCACATAGAATTTGGGATTTTACTACAGTACAAAGTGAAGATTGTAGCTGGGGTTATCCATTTGATGTCCACTCTTCAACAGACTCATTTTTTTCACCCAGACGGCGTAAAACCATCCACCAGGCATGTTTCAAGAATCAATCCAACTGCCACCTAAACAACTCTAATGAGCCTAGTCTCACACATTCTAGTTATTCACGTCCTTAGAATCACGAGTGCTTCGGCGTGGGAAGCCAACTCTCCATCTATACATGCCCCATGTAGAAAGCAAGTGAGCTCAAGCACAGACTGTGAATCTGAAAACAAGGACAGCTTTAACTCGAAGAACTTATCGCCATTTTCTCAATTATCACCAGTAAACTAACATCGAGAGGAATGCCAAAACATGCCCACCTACGATTTGTTCTACGATCTGTGACTCAACTCCAATGATCTGTAGAAGCCTAAGTGGAATAACGAAAAAGAAATAGAAAATTGTGTCGAATTCAAGTATACCTAGTAATCTGGAGGATTCGAGCGAGTAAATGAAGACGCAATCGCCGGAAGCGGCGGCGACGCGGCCGTCGGAGGAGAAAGAGACGGAGGAGACGGGGCAAGGGAGGTCGAAGACTTGTCTGAGGAAGGGGGCGATGAGCGGCTCGGCCTCGGAGAGGGGAGAAGGGAGGTGCGAGATCACCAGGAGAGAGGAGGCCCCGTAGGCGACCCAGGCGTAGCCGGCGAGGTCGGGGATCCAGTCGATGGTGGATCCGGTGGGCGAACGGGTCGGGGCGGGAGGGATGACATCGGATCGCATGAGGGAGAGCGGGAGGTGGTCGGCGGGATCGACCGCGGCGGCGGAGTCGAGCTCCGGCATCGTCGTCGGCCGTCAGGGACCAGGTGAAGGCGAAGGCGAGGGTGAAGGATGAGCTGCTACGCCATGTTCTGCACCTCCAAGCACCAGCAGCGCCCAAAACATAAGCATTTTCCTGGGATCATTATCACTTCACCCTCGGTAAAAAAACGAAAAAGAAAATTACAGCACCTTTTGTTAAATACAGACATATCTATAGTTTCTTTCCTCGGGAAAAAAAAAATAATTGATCATCTGTGAATAGTACGATTAGAGCTGTATAGATTTTTACTTTTTCAATTTGGAAAATAATTCTAGAGATATTAGATAAGTTACTGGCGTCATATAATTCTTATTTCAATAGCAGAAAAGGTGTTAATTATATGAAGAAATTGCAATGATCGTTGTGTCCAAATTTACGCTTTATATTTAAAGATATTGTGTGCATAGGGAAGTTACAATTAAATGATAGATAAGAAATTATAATGCGATGGGAAATTTTATGGTCCTGCGGCTGGATTCATAAGACCAGTTTCGCAATTTGTGTGAACATTTGATTAATTTGGAAAAAAAAAAAAATAGACCGTCTGGTCTCTTTTGCAAAATGGTAATGGTTATTGGGAGAACCGATTTCATATTGCAATTTGCATACGTTGAAGGACGGTTATGAACACAAAGGTAATCAAATTTACATTTGGTTAAGGAAAATTACGAATATTAAGGAAAATTATCGACTCAAATGGTTGAAAAAATTTAGAAATCATAAAGCAAAGTTACTTTCAACTGGGTTTTTTACTAACAACAATAGAAGAAAAGAAATTGATTATTCTCTTTAGATATATTAAAATTTCTTGTAGAAAGTTACGAGCATGGTAATCAAAGAACTTACAATGATGACGAGTACATTACCTCATTCATAAAAAATTACGGACTGATGATAGATTGAAAATTACTTTTTGCTCGTGTAAATTTACTATTGTCCATGGTAAATCGATTAAAGAGTGCAAATAATGATAATTACTTTTCTATAATCGTTCCTAACCTAACTATCCACGCAATAAATTATCAGTTAGCAAACTCTATAAAGAAGCTATGATAGACATAAAAAAAGAAGTTACATCAATTGCTAATGCAATAGGATTTTTACACATTCATTGTTGATTGGGTGACATATTGATAAATTTGATTGCACAATCATCTTCAAGTATGCTTAGTAATTCAATGATGGATGTGTAAAAAGTTTCAGTACTAGTAATTGAACTTTTAATTTATTCAATCAAATTCTTAAACTTGTGTTGTTGAAGTCCTTCTGACTCCAAATCAAGTAAGCTAAAAAAGACGCACTTGTTAAAACTACTTAGAGTCGGACACTGTTATCTTTCAATCGATGCTTGAGACTATGAACATAGAAAATGAAGACTACAATTAGATATCGAGCATTGTGATTATCACAACACGAATATTGCATTCAAGTTTTTCACGTTAAACTCTACTTGACTTGAAAAGAAACGATATCATTGATTATTCAGATTTAGAGTTGTAAGGAAGGACTGCATTCAAGCATGTCACATCAAACTCTTGTAAAAAAACAAAAACTACTATATCGCCAATAAACCAAATTTAGAGATAAAGGGCGGAGATATCATGTTTAAAAAAGTTAATTGATTAAGATGTTCAAATCTAAAGACGAGAAATGAAGTGTTATGGTAATCCATATGGTAGAATTTATTTGCTTTCACATAGGGAACCTTGGTTCAAATAAATCCATGTTCATGCAAGTGATTTATTTCGTAATTTTTTTCTTACATTTTGTTAGAAAGTGTCTCCATAACACTTGTTACTAATTGTTAATAACCAAGAAAGAAAATATTATAATTTCTAATGAATTGAGTGTTCTCGTAATACTTATCATTGATATTTTGAAAAGAGAAAATGACACAAATAGTCCATCAACTTTGATTCGATGTATCATGTAGCCCATAAACTTTTAATTTATTTAATATAATCCTTACTCTATAGCCCAATGTGCAATGTCGTTCCTGAACTTTAAATTTGTTCAATGTAATCCCCGAACTTTTGTTGCATGTTGAATTTAGTCCCTCAATTATATGAAAAATGTTCAATTCAAGTTGAAGGACAACATTGAACATTTTTTATGTAACTTGAGGACTAAATCGAACATACATCAAAAGTTTAGGGGCCATATTGAACAAATTATAAATTCAGGGACGACATTGCACATTGGAATAAAATTCAAGGACAATACTGAATAAATTAAAAGTTCATTAATCATTTATGTCATTATCCTTTTTGAAAATCAAATGTTTACTCATTGAATATGTTAATTAACAGTTTGGAACGACAATTCTTTGTTGAAAAGAGCTGGTTTGCCTCTAAAATGCCGGCAAATTATGAATAATACCGGTAAAAACGACAAAAGACTCGCAATCAAGCAACCGTCCGTTCTCCAGCCACACCCGCAAAGCAAAGTCAAGCGCTCGTTTCTTCCGCGCTCATCTCTCTCTCCAGCCATCATCATCGGTTCGATTTCCCCGAATTTCTCAGATCACATCGCCTGAGAAGGAGGAGGAAGAGGAGGAAGAAGAAGAAGATGCAGCAGCAGCAGCAGCAGCAAGAGAACGGTTGCGGATTCATGTCGTGCGAGAAGCTGGACAGGATGGCCAATTGGGTGGGCGCCAGCGTCGCCTCCGCCTTCTTCGCCTCCCTCGAGCGCTGCTCCTGCATCAACCTCAGCACCACCGACCTCGACGACGACGACGAGTCCAAGGACCACCGCCCCCTCATGCTTACCAAGCCCATCTCTCACGATCCCCTCGCCGCCGCCGCCGCGGGCGGCAATTCCGCCCCCTCCCCCGCCCCCGCCCCCGCTCCCGCCCCCTGCCTTTCTAATTAGCTTTGGTTCCCCCTCCGATCGATTGTGCTTACATCCTCCGTTCAAAAGGGTCGTTTCCTGTTGAATTATTGGGGACAAATAAACGAGAAAGATGTGATTTTTTTGCTTTGTCTGATGCTCGTCGTCGTCAAGTCTTGTGTAGATAGAGAGCTGTGGGCTTTCGGGCTATCTAGATAGATGTCCTTGGTTGCTCGTCAACCTGGAAATTGTTATATATGCTGTGTTACGATTCGGCCCGGAACTGGATGTTGCTGCTAGATTTCTGCCCCTAAATGGATGAGAGCTGAATCGACTGCTCGTGTATATTCAGAATCTTGACAATTGAGCTTAAATGCTCGCTAATTATTCTCAGATGGGTAGCCGTCTGGATTTGAATTTATTACTATGTGGGCTGCTTTGGGCATCGCATGCTGATTGACATCCTTGTCATATCACGTGGTGGGATAAGAGTTGAGTTTCTCTGGGAGAAGACAATGGCATTCTCGTGGTTCTGATTCTAGCTGATCACAGCAATTATTTTCAGGCATAGATTACAGACAATTTTGCTGTCTCGGGTTTTGAATTTTACCACAGTTGCTGAGTTCACTGCTATATCTCTACGATCACATATCGCTTGATGTGATGCTTTTGCTTTTGGCCCGTACATGTTACCTCGCAGAGTCTGCTGGGAAGCTGCATGCATTGAAGGTGTTTTGTTAGGCCTATCTGTGATCAGAAAAGGAGTTGATTGAGTTCGTCAGTTATCAGTGGGATTCATCTGCCATCATTGATTCTAATAAATATAATGATTTCCAACTTATGGCTAGGGACTTGCTCTATTTGAATGGGCTAGAGCGAGGGCATTTTCTGTTTCTGTGAAACTATTCAGTAGGATTTTATGAGATATGGCCATCTCCTATGTGATTTTGGTCATGATATCGATGTCTACGGTCAATATGATGGCTGCTTCATTGAAATTCTTATACGGAGTTTCATAGAGTATCATTTTCCGGTTTGGTTGAACTCATTTATCTGTCTGGTCAGTGGTAACTGGTATGAGCTGACTCCTTTTTGTTTGCCAGGGTTGGGTTCATGAAAGCAACATGTTCTTTAGCTGATTGTGGTTGGGATTCTGGGTAACCAAAGAAATATTAGGTGGTTTTCTTCTATCAGGGAGATTACCAGGATATGGAGAAAAATGGTTTTACCCTTTTATAAACAAACGTGTATTAGCTAATTTCTCTGAAGTCAAGATGCGGTCCACTGGAAGCTCTGGGTAGACCCACAATTCTCATTGAGAATTAACATGTTACTTTGTTGTCAAGATACCAAAGCATGTGGACCAGCTTGTCAATTAGATTGACTCAACTAAAGTGCTAATGTACTCAACTGCCACTGTGTTCTACTTGTCTCTTGATGAATTTTTGTTTGGGTGCAGTACAGTGATATACCACGCTTTATGAAATGATCTTTGTTATTTTCTTCACGAGTTGTAGTTACAATCTTATAGGTTCAGCCAGTATAGCTGTTCGGAATCCACAAACCATTACGAATGATGGTCAGCATCTCTCCGAATATGTAATTAAGGAAACCCACAGTGGAAAAAATATGGTTTCTGGCTTCATTTTATTGGAACTCTCTTCCTGGTTATCCAATGGATATCTTGGACTATTATGAATTGCAAATCTGGTTATCGATAGAATTTTGCTTCCCCGCCTACGATGGTCTTTCAGTCTTGTGGAATAATGATCAAGCTGCCAAGTTCGTCATTATTCTCTCCTGATTATGGCCTTGAGGCACTTTCATTCACAGTATGAAGACGAAGTCTCACATGCTTATTTTTCAAGTCAATTGCACCATGTTACGAGTTATCCATAGAAAAATACAGCATTAAGGATGAAGTACGAGACAAAACCGGAGTAGTTAAGGGCAACAAACTTGCATGATTTGCCAATATAAGCACATTAAAATTAACAGATGAAGTGAAGCTGTATGGGGAGAGCAGAGGTTGGTGTTTGGATGTTTCTATGTCGGTGTACAATTCCTCCGAATCTTCATCATTTCCAGATTCCTCTGCCAAAGATGGCAGTTAGCACGCAAAATGGTGGGAAATGGACTGGTAGATGAGTTCTCTCCTCGGTCTCTCAAAAAGTGTCCATGTTCGGCGTGGATACCTCCTTTAAAGCTACAGCTCAGGATGAACCCATTCACCATGATAGCAACCCTGTTTGTGCTTCTGTATGGACTACTTAATAAAGACAATCTTACAGAATGAACCTTGGCAAATGATGGCAAAGAGCGAGTCGGTCTTTCTCCTTCCTAAAAAGCCTTCGCTAGCAAGACTTTGTTAGAGTCGAGCTTCTTTTGCTCATGGGGTGGAAGTTTTAAGCCCTCTTTGTTATGCTTATGCAGTTTGGACTGTAGTTCCTGCTAAGCACGGGAACTTGCCCTTCATCACTTCAAGAATACTTATGGTCGCACATTATTTGGTTTTGATTAAAACCCTCTACTTTGGATGTAAGATGTGAAAATTGTCATGTATAATCTTGACTCCGTGGGCAGTAGCCGGGTAATAGTGTAACTTATGTCAGTGCAGGTTTCTCCAATTTGTTGAGGTCAGTCTTGCAGGGTCACGCAAGTTATTCAGACATCACCTGGTAATAAGTCAAAGAAGGCTCTTATAGGGAGGTTCCATTTTCCCTGAACATTTTTCTGAGAAGAATACTTGACATATTTCGAAGAGTTAGTTCTGGTGTAGCACTCAAACAAAGTTTAAAAAAAGAAGAAGGTCAACAAAGGAGAGTTTTTTGTCATTGCCTGTCACACTTGAGCATTTGAATAGTCGAGACAGTCACATGAATAAGAAATACTCATATGATGCATATTTGTGCATGCATGCACATAAAAGATGCAGGCTATTTTGATCTGGGATTTGGATGTTGACATATATATTAGAGGCTATGAAACAAACAAACTTATGTATAGTGCAAAAAGGTGCCGCTCAGACTTAGAATCTTCAACCTTTTTGTTTCTGTTTTGGCTTGTTTTAGGTTACAACTGCTACATTAACTAATTCCTTGGATATATATCCAGATTACAGGAGGTACACAAAGAACTATGATCCCTCCATGGTTTAATAGGTCACCTACCTACTTACATACCTTATCATGATAAGATGAGTGACTAAACATAGGAAAGGCTAGGGACAGAGACATCAAAGAAAATTTACGGAAGTACAGAATGTATTGATAGCACTTAGAGGTCTAACTATGAGGGTGGAAACACAAATATAAGGTATGACTACTAGGTGGAGGAGGAGGAGGTCCTGAAATGAAGAATGAAGTTAAGAGAAAGAGTTCCACACATAGACTTTGTCTCAGTACCTAGTATTCATCTGTCTTTTGAAGAATTTCAAATTTTCTTTCCCCTCACCTACTCCTTGCACATGACGTATCATGAAATGGAAATACACATGAGCTTTCAGGAGAAGCGAATAGCAATGTGTTCGTGCTTAAACAGAGTTACCTCTCAAAGCTTGTACAATGAGGAAGACGCTATAAGAAGGTGAATGCAGCGGCTACTTGTACTGCTGTGGTTTTGACATGGTACTACGGAGCAGGTATAACAATTGTTTCAACTTTAATAGTAAAGAACCAAAGAGATAGAGGTAGCTAAATTATATCCTTTAGCAGGTTGGTCAGCTCTTCAAATAGTCACTCCCCCAGCGCCTTATTTTGCTGAGTTCATCATGAAGGAATCATGAAAGATGATGGTCACAAAAAAGCATCAAAATCTTTTATCTTTAACTCGAATATTTTAAATGTGATTAGATAGGTTCGTTCTCTATTAAATGACCCCGCACTGTAAGCCTCATCATCCTCCATCTCTGGTTTTAACCCCTGATGGAGAAGCTAACCATGGGGGTCATGCTCTCCATTATCTCATTAATATCTTGTTTCAGCTCTCTGCATGTTCTTGCACAGTGGCCTGGAGGAAGATCGACCAGGTTCTATGACTTCAAGGTCTCACTGATATACATCTGTCAGATATCTTTTTTATTTCGATTACCTGATTCGCTCGTACTCTCTATGTTCAAGTTCTCATTGTTCCATGCTTGACACTAATAACAAACAATTGTCTATGTAACTTCAAATGAATAGGTGCAAACCACAAGGATTACCAAGCTATGCAGCACCAAGGACATAGTAACAGTCAATGGAATGTATCCAGGACCAGTTGTTTACGCCCAAGAAGATGATAGAGTGATCGTCAAAGTTACAAACGAGAGTCCGTACAATGTCACAATTCACTGGTAAGAAAAATGCAGAAATCCTTTTTGTGCATGGGAGAGGATAAAAATTTGCTAATTTGAGTATTCTTTTGCTGTGTCGGCTGATTCAAGGCATGGCATCCGGCAGATGCTATCCTGCTGGTCTGATGGACCTTCATACATCACTCAGTGTCCTATTCAAGCTGGACAGAGTTTTACATATGAGTTCACATTGGTAAAGCAGAAAGGTACCCTTCTCTGGCATGCTCATGACTCTTGGCTTCGGGGCACTGTCTATGGTGCTATAGTCATGTATCCTAAGACAGGGGTCCCTTATCCCTTCACATATCCTTATGAAGAGCACATCATTATTCTAGGTAAGTAATTTTTGCCTGCGAGTTTATGAACCATGTTTCTGCACAAAATTCATCCAACTCTAAATCTGGTATACTGCACTGACAGTTACATAATTACGCATGAAAATACAATTATTCAAGATCTTTCAACCATAATCTCGACATTACAGGGGAATATTGGCTGAAGGATGTGGTACAACTTGAGAAAGCTGTTCTAGCTAGCGGAGGAGGTCCTCCGCCAGCCGATGCATTTACGATCAACGGCCATCCTGGCCCTAACTACAATTGCTCCAACAATGGTACTTCTTAGCAAAACTCTGACCTCAAATAATTACAACCCTATTACAACCCTTAGAGTTCTCCATCTATTTGAGAAACCTTATAGCTAGATATTGATTAGGAATTTACTGCCAGTTACAACATTCCGCACCCGATGCAAAATTGAAAACAGTAAGTCCTTAGTAGTCTCCAGTGTGAGTGACGGGCTTTTTTTGCTTCAGCACTGCTCGATATCCTATAATCCTGTTAAGACTATCTTCTTGAAAAGCAATCACTGCCGTATGAACCGATGACTATCTTCATAAATCTATTATAACTAACATCACCGTGTTATATAACTTGGTAAACCACACGTAATCTTGTGTTTGCATGGACTCACCACTAGTTTCCTGTTATACATATTGCCAAAAATTGCAGATGCATACAAGATTGACGTGGTGCCAGGAAAGACCTACCTGCTGAGGCTGATAAATGCAGGTCTGAACTCGGAAAACTTCTTCTCCATTGCAAATCACAGAATGACCATTGTTGAAGCTGATGGAGAGTACACGAAACCATTCATGACCGATCGCGTGATGCTTGGACCAGGCCAGACAATGAATGTCCTTGTCACAGCCGATCAATCCATTGGAAAATATTCTATGGCCATGGGTCCTTACATGTCGGCCCAGGGCGTACCCTTTCAAAATATATCGGCCATAGCATACTTCCAATACCTTGGTGCTTTGCCCACTTCCCTGTCTTTGCCTGCTAGATTACCCAGTTTTAATGATAATCTTGCAGTTAAGACTGTCATGGATGGGCTTAGAAGCTTGAAATCTGGTCATGTTCCAAAGGAGATAGATCAGAATCTCTTTTACACTATAGGACTAAATGTTCAACAATGCCATTCCCCAACGCCACAGCAAAATTGCCAGGGCTTGAACAATGGGACAATGGCCGCGTCTATGAACAATATAAGCTTTGTCATACCCAAAATTTCCCTTCTCGAAGCTTATTACAATAGAATTAACGGCCAGTTCACTGAGGATTTTCCTGGCGTGCCTTTGAAGTTCTATGACTTTGTCAATGGCGCACCTAATAACAGTCCTAACAACACCCAATCGGTGATCGGAACTAGAACCTTTGTCCTTGACTATGGAACTAGGGTGCAACTCGTATTACAGGACACAGGGACGGTCTCTACGGAAAACCACCCAATTCACCTTCATGGATATAGCTTCTATGTAGTAGGATATGGCTCTGGCAACTATAATCCCCAAACCGCACAATTCAACTTGGTGGATCCGCCTTACTTGAACACAATTGGAGTTCCCGTGGGCGGATGGGCTGCAATTCGATTTGTCGTAGACAATCCAGGTGAGCCAATCCTCCTTGTCTTTGTGATTATGCTGCCTATGTGATTGGAATGAGCCTTGTAATTGTTAGCGCGTTCCAGTCATTTCTTTTGGAGATGCTTAACATAAATCGAGTTTAATTAATGATATGCAGGAGTTTGGTTCATGCATTGTCACTTCGATATACACTTGTCTTGGGGATTAGCTTCAGTGCTTATAGTGAAGAATGGCAAAGGGGAACTCGAGACCCTTCCTCATCCGCCGGCAGACCTGCCCTGGTGCTAGAGCTTTTTGCTTTTGTGCTTAACTGTGCCGTTTCCACTCAATAATTCTTTGGCATCAAGTGTGTGATACGCTGGATTTGTTCTCCTCTTTGATTGAATGAAATGGAAGTGTAAAGAAGCGATGATCAGGAATAAAAAGAGGATGCTCGTTCTCTTTATCATTTCCTAGTTCGTAGCTAATGCGATGTTTCATGTCCAATGTCGATATATGAGACTCCGGACCGGAACGAGGATCTTGACCCAATAATGTATATCTGTAGCTTGCATTTCTAATTTGACAGCATCCTATACTAAATGAAGTCAACTAAGCATCATGCCATGCATGAGATGCATAGACGATCCAGTTGACAATCGCAACCACCACTTACCTAACCGAGCCATTCATGATGTCAAAGCTAAAATAGCATCCATTACATAACCCTTTTCATTAATAAGGCAGTATCACTTCCAACGGCATGTGGATTTTATAATATTATCTCATCCAATAATAGGCCTCGTGAAGCAACCCTAGCTAGTTATTTCTTTTGCATTAATGTTAAACTCTATGTAGTGAAGTCACTAAAACTCTTCAGCAGCTTAGTTTCCAATTAGGTTTCAAAGTACTGTCGGTGCTTAGGTACTTTTAGTTTGTTTAATTTAATTAGTTTGAACTTTTTATAATTGATTTGAAACTGTAACCTGTTAAAAGTTGTAGAGAAGAAACTAACACAAAGAATCACTTCGTTGGACATGAAATTAAAATGGCATTTAGGATCAAATTGGAAATGTATAATAAACTGGATTATGATCAAAGTCCAATATTTGTGATTTTCCGAGAGATGAAGTTGACTTCCTGTAAGAAATTTGCCCATGTATTCCGATAGGAGGAATCCAGATAATTAAGTCCGAATGAAACCATGAATATGTGTGCCGGCTTTAAGAGGAGAACAAATTTTAGTCTAATCTAAAGTGAGAAGAATATTGAAAAGATTAGAAAATCCAAGCAAGCGGAGGAAGGTGTTGTAGTCAACTGTCAATGAACCTAGCCGCGCCGTTATCAGGTCATTGCATGATGCCTTGCCGTTATTAACGTCCGTGTTGCGTCCGTGTGGTGTCCGTGTTGTGATGGAAAGAGACAGGGTAGGAATCATATATTGTATGACTCAGATGTCTGTCTTTTCCTAGAAAGTGGTTCGATAGATGAGAATAGTAGGATACAAACTGAATGAAGAGTTGATATAGCGAGATTGATACTAACTCACGGTTAGCTCAGACGGGTCTTCTACCGGCTTCCGTGAAAGAAGCTCTAGCCAGTGCATGGAATTCAAATTCGGCGCGTTGCGTGGGTCATCTATCTTAGTTTCCATATTGAGTGAGTCTAACTTAGCTCCACGGAATGAGAAGATTCTCTTTAGACCAGTCCTAGTTTGGATAGAAAATTGTTTGATTGAAGAGAATGAGGGGACAAAATCGCGTGAATGACTCGGGATCAGTTAGGTGCATCTTAAGGCGTGTCAAAGAAGTCGAAAATAAAAAAGGAAGTTCACCAGAGTTCGTCAGCCGCGAAGTTCTAGATAGCACCATATAAAGTAAAACGCCATTAATTCCCCAAGGACCTGTTGATTAGTTAATCTCAAAGGGAAGTCCCGCTAGCAAGAATATCAGCTGATGATAAAGGATCCTTTGAAAGGTGGTTACAGTCTTGTAGTGCCAAAAGTGCAGTATAGATGGGTGGGGGAGAAAGGTCAAACCCAGAAGATGAAGTTAAAATGGTGAATCTGGCAAAAAGATGGCATTATTTACACATGTACCTGCAAATATCTACTGAAGAAGGCACTCACGTCTTTTCAAACTGATCGCCATAAACCAGTCGCAGTGAAGCAGCACCGCACGATACACCTCGAGGCGATTGAAGATCATAAATTCAAGAGAGAGAGAGAAAGCGCTCTTATAGTCAAATGTAAAAAAACCATTGCTTTAGAGCTAATATGAACCTCCAAATAAAAAACGAAGAAATACAAGGTTGCTAGAGCTAAGTACCTCAGTACATGAAGCTTAGTACAGACATTTATGAGAAGTACAATCATGAAAAGTAGCTGGTGAACGACCCCATGAGCATGCATGTCCAAGAATGGACCGCGAGGACTTTGAAAGAAGACCCAAGACTTCAGCTAACAGCCAAACTCATCATCCAACTGCGGACTCCTTACTTTATTTAAGATAGGAGAATAAACAAAGGGAAGGGAGTGATGATGAGAAGCCCGCTTGGCTTACTATACTTTCAACTATCCCATTTTGCGCAAAAAGAAAAAAAGATTAGGCTGTTGCAACCACCTCTCAAACGTTCTGCTTCTTCTCCACTCTTGGCAGATGAGAGAACCATGCGTATAAAACGCAAGAGAGGCCCGTCCGTGTCTTCCTCTTCCCATCAAAATCACATCATTCTCATCATAATAAGCACTGCGATACATCTTCTTGTTTGCCTTTTATGGTGGTGCTGCTCTGTGCCTTCCGGTGGAAGGCCTCTTGCTCAAATGAGTATTCCATTTTACGACAACATGATGCTGTTTATCAACGTTGTTGAACAAAAAAAATGGGATGCTCATTAAGGCAAGATGCTTTGCATGGGAGGCCTCACTTTGGTCATCAAGTCGGCACGTCCACTTTTCAAGGATTCGAGGAGGGGATCTGCCCTCGAACTTGTAGGCATTGTGCGCACGTGAATGTACGTGACTTTCATCGGAAGCGAACTTTCCTCGTAGATTTGTCATTTTACCCCATCATTTTCTTTCGTTATATGGATATGTCTTGCGGCTAAGATTTAGATACACTTGATTTTTACTGACATAAACTAGCTTTTGAGTGAATATTGGTAGCGATTCCCATTAAAAGAACAGTAGCACGAATTAAATGCTCCAAGATCTTCTCTCTGGACCCAGACGAGTTGGGAAGTTGTACTAGAATAAGTTTTTTACTGACAGAAAATGAGATGTGATATGATCTCTCTCTGGACCAGTCTTAAGGTTCATGGGTTTAGGCCATTTGGTACGTGCTCTTTCTTAGCTAGTGATTATGACTTTGGCCAAAGTAATTAAAACTCGGACTTCCGATCGCTCGATCTAGCATTTGGAGTAATGAATGTTTAGGGTCTTGCTAATGAATGCTACCATTGAAATCTCTTTGGGTCTTTTGGCTTCTATAGTTAGATGCGACAAGCGAAATTGGTAGTTCGATTGACGTAGACACGGCAAGGTCGCTAATCAATATTTGTTTCCTTAATTATTTCTTAGTTTTGGTTTCCATCTAGGCTTAATTGCGATTATGGTGTGGTTTCATGGGATTTGTAAACTATTTATCTAAGTTGCTCATAATGATTTTTCGTAGACGTTCAAACGAAGTTGTCTCTTATCTACATGGATTTTTGTTGGCGTATTCCCCATAATCCGTCTCTCTAGCCATATTTACAAGCATCTTCTCCACTAAAGCCTATTTTTTTTCACTAACTTGTTTATATCTTTCTTATCGAGGCCTTAAATTTTCTTACTCCAATATATTTAAGAATGTTACCAACTTTTTTTTTCCAATTGAGATACCAACTAGTTTTGGTTACTAACTCCATTTGAATTACTTACCAATATTGACACAACTAAAAGATTTAGGGTTGAATTGATAAAACTGCAATAGATTTAAGAATTTTTGGATAATTTTCCCTGAGTTTACCAACCTTTAGTTACGTGACTTACCATTTTTGTTCTCATTAGGTTATCAACTAGTTATGGTTTACCAAGTCTCATTGAAATTGCTTACCAATGTTTATTTGGTTATATTTGAATTTACTGATTTTCTATTGACCACATTTATTTTCCTTACTTATCAGTCCGTCAAATTTACCAACTCTTTCTAGGAAATACCTACCTCAATCAGAGTGAGTACCTATGTTTATTCAAATGGCTCTCATAGTTCTTTTGTAACCGTCTTGATCTAGCGTTGTTTTTTTGGATGGCTAGATAATCTCCTACCTTAGATTTAGAGATTTCATTTTATAGATTTTGACTCATGCCTTATTTTTTCAGATTCCTAGGATGAATCAACCTCCACCATTGCGATTTAGAGTTCCTGTATATTTTGCCTGCGGATATCAATATGTGTTAATACCTTAATCGGCAGTAGTTTATACTAAGTGTAGTTCGGTTGTATTGATTGACGTATGGATACTAAATGGATCCCTCATCAATTTGTGTTCTGGTACTTTAACATCGACGGTGAGCTCGTTGGACTACTAAAGGGTTTTGATGGTCCCCCTTGGCTAACGACGTGTTAATGAGAGAGGTTGTCGAACCATAGCATAATGACTTGACTTTTGTATAGCTAGGTTTTAGGTGCAAGAGTATGGGGTAGTAATGACAAACTCCCGACCTTCTTCCCAAAGTTGAAGCGTTGTATTCTGTTTCTTTTTGTAGTTGTATTGATACTTGGAAGATGGAAGATAATTGAAAAATGTAAATGCATATTATTCAAATTTGTCAACTTTACGTTTAACTTGCGATGTGATTTTTGTGCTTCCACATGCTTTATAATAAATAAATAATTGCACTAAAAGATCTTGTATTGCCCGTGATGTTCTGGGGCATCACGTTTTACCTACAGATCCATTATGTATTTTTCATCATCATAAATCTTAGTGATCAAGCTTGCCAATAACGATGGAATTTGAACCCTAATAAAAAACAGTGAGTTTACATGAATCGACATCCATTTTTCTCACTACATACCTTCTTCATGTAGAAACTAGGGTTGCGTTTGGTCGCGTGGATTTCTAACCAGGATAGGGCTTGATAGGATATGGTATGAAATTCAAGAAATTTACTATATCCTATCTACTGTTTGGTGAAGCGTGGAAATAAAGCCGGATATTTTCACTTCTTACCATGTCCATTATTTGCTATGAACGTCAGATCAGTGTAAATGAACTTAAAAATTGCACAAATGGAGATGATAAAAATCTCTCACGACACTCTTACCTACTTTCATTTTTATTTGCTTATTTTTTATTATTTTTCCTCTCTTTTTTTTAATTATTTTGTTTTTTTATTTCTTTTTTCCCCTCCATCATTCTCTAATAAAATTTTATTAAATAGTGAACTATACTAATATACCTAAAATATGTATATATATATATA